GAATGAAAACTCTGGTCTATTGAATGATGAAAAAATTTCGTACGCTCTTAAATTTTTTTCATGATATTTTTGAAAGCGAAACCATAACTGGAGTATCAATTTCCTGCGTCAGCATGAATACCACCCTGCGCATTATCCCAAAAACCAGAGGGATTTTTTTTTTATGACGGTTCGCTCTCGTCTCCAGGGATGTATATTTTCTCCAGTGTTTACCGTGATATCAGCAAATTGACGAGCTCGTCGACTCGTGAATGTCCCATTCCATTGTACCATTGAATTCATTGCAACGGTGTTAAAAAAAAAAGAATGGCATCGTTGCAGAGTTAACTTGGCTATTGTACCAAACTGTCCCCGGATAGAGCACCACTTTCTACCCATCGGTTCCATTCGTGAATGGGAGATAATACGGTAGAATACCCGCCACAATTTGTTTCAATTAATTAAATCCAAGGTAAAACATCGAAACGGAATCAAAAACCCAATTATTCTCCCTCATTCAACGGTTCAACAATCGTCTTTCACCGGGCATCTCTCACACCCTCTGAAAGCGCTAAATTTAAACATCACAATAATCCCGACGATTTCCACAAACTCCACGACGACCGGTAAAACAATGGCATTTTAAATGAAACCGTACTTAAGAGGTAAAAAAAATAATTCAATGCTTACGGGCATCAGGTTCTGCTCCGAGTTGCTATTTCCCCTGAAACTCCCTGACGCACCTGGTGCTGCCATCTCCAGGAGCTGCCCCCACGTACCACACCCAGGAGAATTGTTTATTTGAATCGAATAAATTTTTATAAACTTTGAACGTACCAAACGTCTCCATCCGTCATTCAACGTCAAAACAAAAAAAGTGAAGAGAGAAAAGAAAAAAATCGGGAGAAAACAGAATTTTTTTTCAACCCCCGACGATTCGATCACACAAACTCAATTATTATCTGAAATGTTTTATTCACTGGTAGAAAATTATTAACGACCCAGCACCTGAAAATTTTCTACCGAAATTCTGCCCAGAAAAATAATTCATTCCAATTCTGGTACGCAGAGTGTAGCGCAGGTTAAAACGCGGGAGAAATGAAATGCTCGATGTAAAAACGGATATTAAAACTCAGTAAAAATGTGGTACCGTCGGTGCCATGTAAGCAGCGTATGTTGCAATAAGTACGTGATGTGGTGTCGTAAAAGGATTTAATGCAGGAGAAATCCCGAGGTATGACACGTGAAATTGAATGGCAATGACGAACGCACGTCAGGTGAGGGATGCAATTGGCTTGGAGAGGTGGTACTGTGGGTGAGTGAGCTTTCCGATAACGGCCGAGGTTGCCCGACAGTTTGAAAATTCGGCGGGAGCACGTGGCTGCACGGAAGAGGGAAAATCTACTGGCGTCGACGACTGGCGCCGCCCATCGGTGGCCCCTCGCACTTTGACGTCTCGTCAGTGCACATGCACCCGTGCGACGCGTTCCACCGAGCTTTCGTGACGTCAAGACGCATTGCGACATACCGTCTCTCTCTCGTTGAGTCGACATGAGAACTTCGTCACCCCGTCGGCCTAATATATCTCCTTTCATTGAACATCCCTTCTTCGGAGGCCTCTGACCTTCAGAATAGGCCTGCGCCCCACCGACCAATCACGACTCCTGAAGGAAATTTGAAAATTTTTATTTAAAAATTATTTCCAACAATTTACAAATCTTCATTCCGCGTATGGAGTATTAAAAAATTTAAAAATGTCCAGTAGACAGCGTGAGGTTCAGAGAAATTAATTGGAGATGATTCTCATCAGTAAAATTGAAAAGAAAATGACACCGATAGGGCAGATGATAAACACCCGTGTTACGTTGTCATTCACTATTGTTGAATGAATAATTCGCGGCACGTATGGTGTTGAATCCATCGGAAATCAATCGTTATGTAGCCCTGCATAAATAACCGCAATCACGCACCGTTTCAACACTATTATAGCCTTCAATATCTATTACATCCTCTGGTGACTATCCGCATTCACAAGATATCGATTGCCACCACTCGTAGAACAATTGCAAGTTATTGGACGGTTGTATTTTATCGGTGTAAAACGCGTTACACCGATAACAGATTTCAAGTAATGTGAATCATACCGAATGCTCAAGTACAAGGGACTCGGCTGTTCGGTGTCACAAAGTGCAGCCCGAATTTCTCGTCTGAATCATGCACTGGAGTTTAAATAATTTAGGTGTATGCTGTTTCTGAAATTCTGTTTCTGCAGTTCTGAGGTACTGGGGATTGAATTAACATCAATTGCCTTTGCAGATTGATGAGGACTAACTGGATCGTTAATCGGATTCAAAGCGTTTGAGAGAGTTAGGGAATTCCTCATTATCCTTGAAAATTAACGTTTGTGAAATAGACAGGATGGAAGAAGATTTTGTCCTGAGGGAAAAAAAAATGAATAATTTAGAGAATATAAATTTCGGTATTAGAAAATGGTTCTCTCTGGGGATTTGAATTATTGAAGCCTCTGAAATATCGCGGTATCCAACATCTGGCCACCGGACAAAGGCCATCCTGGGCCAAATGGTCACCGAGACAAATTGCGGGATTCACCCAAGACCCACCTAATTGGTTCCCCACTCTCGAAGAATCTCTCAAAATGGCAGGTACTCCACTGAATTTATCGTCGAGTGAACTTTCCTTTTGTTCTCCAATCCCTCGGGAAGTCGATCGAACTTGCACCGCGGTTGCTACACCACGAAAAAAAAATATCAACTCTTCTCAAACGTCTTTGAACTTCTAGAGACCCCGAAATTCTTCCACCAAACCTTCCACAACCTCTCAAGTTTATGTCGTCCAGACTTTGAAGACTCAACATCATAATGTCGCTGCAGGTAATATCAACCAAACGAAGGCACTGACTCCTGGTGAAAAATCCTGCATCAGCCCCTGGGGATCTGGTGAAAGATATCTTTTTAAATCGGCCACTTTCTTTATCAAACGGTTAATTTCCCACCCACTCACCTCGTAAATTTCGCAATTTATTTAACAATTTCCCATTGCTTGTTCTCGGTAAGTTTCCCACGGGGTATTACGCTCGAGTTACCAGAAATAGTGGTGAGTTTGAAGAATGCCCGGAGAAAGAAAAACCGCGTAGCGTCATCCCGGGAATTATGTAGAGCGTGGAAAAGCGTATGCGAGGGCTTTAACAAATTTTATTTCATCACCATTAATAATACCTAATGGAGGGTGTAAAATGTTTGTGAAAAGTGGAAGCCCGAGCTTAGTGGAAGCTCGTGACGGCGTAAATTACCCGAGTCATTACACCTTCTTTCATTTCTACGACTTTAGTCCCACCTCAAGGACAACTGAAGCCATTTTCCGCCCTCCCCACCACCCGCATTCCACCAAAGACGAAATTGAACTCAATTCAAGAGATTTTAATCTCCGTAAAGTTGTTGAGGATTTAACCGGCAGACGAACTTCGGGACTTCCCGGAGGCAAATGCTTACTTTTCCCGCCGCAAGTTCAAAGCTCCGCCCATCAGATTTGCTCTCACAACAGGAGTTTAATCGCTCGGACTCACCATTACGAGATTATTTCAATATTTCAGTCTCATTCGGCTGTTTGAGTTAATCGTTAAGAGAGTTGAAGTAAACACCCGTTGAGTACTACCACTTGAACTACGAAAATTCCAGGTCCCAGGGGAAGGGACTTTATTCTGGTTTTAATCGCCGTAATTGATGAAGGAAGGGGTTGGAGTTGTGCCAGGGAATACTGAATGGCGATCGACTCGTGGAGAGTTCTCCATTCTTTTATAATAATTGAAACAGAGTGACTTCTGAATTTTTTTTTTTGCACCCGCGGAAACTTTCGCTTGGCATTCGCCAAAGTTTCCGTCGCTCGCGTCTCAGTTCGATAATTAAAACAGACAGTTCCCGTAGATGCTATGTACTTTATACTGGTTTACAGTTGTAGTGAGGAATACATTGGAATAACAGAGATCTTGGGACAGCCTTCGTCGAGTTGTTTGTTCGGATTACCTTGAGACGGGGATGTTTTTGGGGAATCAGAGTAGCTTCCGTCGCCAGAATTTCTGGGTCAACATCATTTTCTAGGGGTTCCGACAACATCGAGGCAAATTACTCCAGAGAATGCAATTTCTCATTTTTCGCAATCATGAAATATCCAAATTGCGTTCCCCCACGAAAAAAATGTACTGCCATAAAAAATAAATGAATAAACCATGAATATATATATATATATATTTCTCTTCTAAAATGGCAGACAAATTTCAAAAACTTGTAAAGTACGACTCAGCAAAATATTGCGGACGAGAAAAAATAGGAAAAATTTTCCGCTTAGAAATTGTCTTCAGGGGGAAAATCTCTCACGTGCATAAATTCTGTGGGAACGGATTTTTCCCATTGCAGAAATAACCCACCGCATGCCTGTAAAATCCCTCTCTCCATTAACATCGAAACCTTCCAAATGCCCGTTGAAATATATCCCCCCGAGCCGATGTATGCGCTAGAGCCGTTTCAATACATTGTCTCTTTACGCCAAATGTTTTCACTGGCAAACGAGTGCGGCCACATGAGGCTGTGATCGAGTGTTACGTCTTCACATACATCACCCAAATAAACAGCCAAATGTGAAAGAACCTACCAGTGATGTGTTTTGTGGTGTCCTCTGTCTGATTGTCAGTCTCGAACTATTCCCAGGCCAGGGATTACCTTCGTTTCGAAAATACAAAACTCCGCCCACTTTCAGTTGAAATAATTCAGGAGCGTTGCTGTCACCCTGAAACCCTCTCTGTGCTGATCGATGGTATTGTTTATTCTCATTGGTAATAATTACGGGTAAAGAGCCACTGAATCACCCAAAATTTTTTCGATTCACCCGGAAGCCACTGACGAAATCGTAACTCGATGTTCAATGGACTCTTTCATGATATATACCACGTGTTATTTTAAATAACCCACTTTAACGTCGGGAGTTTATTTTAATAGATACATTTCTGCCTCACAAATGCGCGTCAACCGCCAACTTCCACTTTGCCGACAGCACTTTTCGTTAGTCCCAGTTTAAATGTGTTTCTCCCGATAAAAAGAAATCCGAGGATTATCGAGCTTATTTTCCTCGTTTTTTTGTCAATAAAATTTCAATCCCTCCTTTTCTTATTCAAGCCTCCCCCCCCCAAAACCCCCTGCAAATCGATACCCATCAGTCTCTCTGGTTTCTGGTGGCTCTAATTGGACTGATGTATACGGCAATTCAGGGGGATCGATTGCCCTGTCAATTGAAAATAGCGAAACAAAAGTATCGTATCAGAAATTGATAGATGTGGTTATTTACTTCCTCGTGACCAGCACTTGATGGATCGGTGGCAGTTTTTTTCTTTGTTAATAGTGAAATTTTTAAGAGTGGAATTTTGACTTTGTGGAGAAGAAAAATGATAGTCGTCTCATCGATGGATGACGATGTGGGAGTTAAAATAGATGCAATGTTTGTGGTATCGTGGTCAATGGGAACAGTGTATCACACGTAGTGGATTACGTGGTGAATACAATGGTGTGAAAGTGAGAGTTTAGTTGTGTCAATTAACGCTTTTGTGGTTGACCCCAATGCGAATTACTGGCGTCATTCAGGGGTACTGACTGATTTGGGAAGTACGATGCATGCGGGAATGAGAAGTGCGTTTGTTGGGGCCAGTAGGAATACGGCGATTAACACCCGAAGGTATGAAACAGGTAATGTGGCATTCTGTACAAATTCTGTTCTCAACTGGAGGGATATTACTAGCGGCTGTCGTGTATTTTCGCCGGTTCAATTACTTGCAATGACGGATCACACCGGATCTCTCATAAATTGACAATTCATCATTGCGTCTGACGGAATTCTTACCCTGACATTGTGACAGAAGTGACACATTTTCCATTTGCCCAAAAAATTCATCCGGTATTTATTTTTGCGTGAGCGGTAGCCAAAAGTCTCAGTGGAATTTATGATAAAGATCGCAAGAATTTGCGGCAAAGTCGACCGGTGGTGGTCGCCACCTGGTGGTCTTTTTCAGGAAGCAGAGGATTGTGAGCTGTCGGGGGTGTTTCGATGGAGCTCCTAGAGTACCTTCTGGTCTTCTGAATATCGTTACCATCGCATGATAAGGGAAATTGCACTTGTACTGTTTTTTTGCGATCATAATGCGATAAAATAATTTCGTAATTTCACCTTTTTGAAAAACCACTGTCTGCAGTAGGACAGGGAAATTGTCTCGCTGATTGATGTTTCCCGTTGCACAAATCAGGTCGTCAAAAAATATTGACTCGACTCTTCGACTTATTAGTAATTGATGTACAGTCACTTCTTGAAACCGGGGCAACCGTCGTTGACGTTGCTGACCTGGGTCACGAGTTCAAACTTTGCCTGCAGGTGATTCGTGACGCACGCTTCCTGATTCCCAACCTGCCCTCACTGTGATCCTCCCAGGAGCATGCGTGCACATAACTAAAACCTATGTACACTAACGATGAATTAATGATGTACATATTTATAAAATTCATTCCAGGCGGAAGTATACAGAGTACAAAGTTGACGAAGTAAAACGCCGCATCGATTTCAGGCGACACGCCCTGCACTTCTCCATCCCCAGATTTTATTTATTTTATTTTCTCAGTAATCCTCCATTTTGTTACCAAATGGAGACAATAATTATAGGACGATGACATTTTTCGTTACTCCTACATTTTTTTTTTACGGAAAATTCGAAAGTCTGAATTTCCAAATTTGAGTCGACATTTTAAACCGTATCAGGTTCAGGTCTGGTCTGAATTATTTTTCTTGATAATTGAAATTTAATTAGCAAGAATAATATATGAACTTGTTTGTGGATGGGACAAGCAGTAGCTCGTCAATACCCGGTGACCTTTCGATCATGTCTTGCAGACAGAGTGGAGCACTGGGACGAGCCCCAGGTCACTGACCGCTGATCGGGCGTTTGTTCCGATTGCCTCGGTCTACTCAGTGGACTACCCCAACCACTGGGATATTCCGCGCAAGGGGTTTAACCCGGGAACACGTCGGGCAAGTGGATATGCCCGTGTTGGCGTGACTCGTAAAAATATTGTCCGCACGGAAGAGGAAAAATCCCCTGACGACCCGAGTGCACGCGAAACGCGCGAACCGCGCGACTCAGAGGGGCTTAGGGGTAAGGGCGGGAGAAAAGAAACAGGGGAGAAAATTGTTGGTTAGAGGGAAACGCGAGGGGGATTCAAACATGGCGAAACCCAGTGACCGATAGAGAGAGGGAAAGGAGAGAGCCAACCCACCCTGAGCCCCTTGCTTTCACCCATAACGCCGCTGATGCAGTTTGTGCTGCAGTCAGTCATTCCGACGCCGTGTTCGCACTCACATCAACAGACCAGAATACATCTCCCTCCTTCAGAGCACCGATATACGAGAAATCGTTGAATCTGTGGTCCTGATCCTGGAAGATTTGCGATTCAATCTAACCTAACGTGGGGCGCGTCTTCGGGGTGAAACGACATCTGTGGGATTCACCGGGAGTTCTCGAGTATCATCGGGAGCCTGCGAGGAGAAATCAGTCGGTGTTTGCAGTGAGGAGTTGCTGTTATCTCCCGCGGTGATCCTGGCGCCAGCAGGGAGCTGCAGATACCGAGGAACGATACACACCAGCGAATAGTAATTTTTTACTTGCATCTTCGTCTAGACAAAAAAAAAATACCACCCTCTCGTATCTCCCTGCAATTTCCATTTTTCACAAATTATTCCACGCAAATAAAAAGCACGGATATGCAGATCGAAGTAAAACATACATTTGCACTCCCCCCCGCGATCTAGAGCTCCGATATCACCAGTCGGTCAGCATCGAAAATTAAAAGCCACCTGCAATCAGCGATGGAAATCTCACTGGGGTTAGCGTGCCGCCAGGCAGACTCGTTTCATCGGAGATGTTTTCACTCCTCCCCTGCACACCACCCCTGAACCATCCCCTGAACCACCCCCGCCCCCGCGGCGTGTGTGTCGCCCCCTGTCAGCTGCTGGGGCAACCCCCGGCATCCTGTTACGCGCGACCCTGAGGAGGAAGGGGTGATGGGCAAATCGACTTCGGTGAAATGCGCGGTCAGGTTGCATACCGGAAAGGGGGTTGGCGTTTGTTGGTCAGCATGGGCGCCTTGATCGCCACGTTGTTGACCATCTCGGGAATCCTCTTCAATCCATCAGCCAACGATCTCCAAAATCCCCCGAAACTCAAACATCCGCCTCACGAAGTGTAATCAAACCGTCCACTGACTACAACCATAAACTTGCCTTAATCCTTCGAAGTAATCAACTCAATGACAAAGAAATCGTGAAGCGATGGAGACCGGGGTCTCGCGTTATCATCGAGTGAACCAGTCCTGAAATTTAGGTTAGACAAACGCGAATGCACAACGCCCTCTGCACACCCCCTGGAGTCCCCCGTCCGGTAAACCGGTGTCAGTGTCATCCGTTAATAATCCATCCATATGATGGAAGTCTGGAGAGTCGGAGGGTGTACATGTGCTGTGATATCGAGAGTAAAAAAATTTTCTACTTCAGTTATTGGAGAGACGGCGATAACGTTTGGTAATCATCGAGTTGAATGGGTGGGCCGGGCACCGAGCGGGCAACGAGGCACAAGCTGAACGGGGTGCCACACAACGTCGGTCACGGGGATCACATCCTCGTTATCGGCGAACCCGCTGGTGCCTGTCGTTGCTATCACCACAATCACACACCAAACGATCCGATAATCCACGATTATCTCAGCATACCGCACGACATAACCACGAGTATCAGCAATTTGACTCTTGACACGATCAACAACAATCATCAAGAGGTGTACAAAACAACGAAATTTGACAGCGACTGCGCTAAGACAACGATGTCATCACCACCAAAGCATCGACGTGGCTTTGATCCAAGTGATACAACCGGCGGTGGTGATTACCGGCGATATCGTCGCGTCAAAACGCGAAAGTAAGTCATTAACCGTTAAACAAGCTCAATTTATTCATATTGGGGCACGCGTTGCACTCAGTTATCACTCCGTCATTCGGATGAACCTGAAATCGAAAAGGGGGACATACACAGTATTTGTTGCTCAGGGACTGGGGCTTTCAGACTAGGCCGATTTGACCGAATTGATCGAGTTCATGTAACTTGACTTGATCGATACGGTGAAATGGATTCTGATAACCCCGAGTTACCCATTCTGTCACACTTGCTTCGTATCGTGGAATGCACTTATGATAAAACAATGTTCACAGATGCTTTGTTTGTTATCACCGTGATGTTGGAAGATGGAGTTGCTAATGGGCATCACTGATCTCCCGACAACCATTCCGCAATGGCACGAGTTTGACACTTTGCTTGCGATGTATCAATGTTGGATCGGCTTAACTGATTTAAAAAAAAAATCATTTGCGATGGTGTGTCAGACCCGATTAAGGCTGGATGCACCGAGTACTTCACGCAACTGCTCCAAGCTTTACATGTCTCGATGTTCCACCGCTTCAGGGGTATCCTGGGGAGAATGAAGAACACCATTTGAGAGACGTAACTGCACGCACATCAACGGAACCGGCAGATTGTCAATGTTCTTGTGGTATTCCCTCTTGATTTTTTAATGGTGGCACTTGTATTTCACTCGGATGTAGGACACTCCGAATAAAGACTGGATTATGTGACAGCGATGTAACCTTACGATTGTACCTCACACTTGATGGGTATCTCAGAACTTCGGAGGTAGTTATGTCGAAGGTCACGGGGCAGCTATTTCGGGGGCCATTCGTTCTGAGTTTATGACCTCGACTGTTAATCGAGAGCAATTAAATATCTCAGGTGAGATAGGAATATCTCTAGTCTGTGTCTCCCTCCTGCAGGAGACACTCGTAAAAATCAGTAACAAATGGAAATTCGGAATTTGGTTGAAGGATCGAGCCAATTTACGATCGCTAATCATCTGACACGATAACTGATATGATAATCCTTTAATTTAGAGTACTTTTAATAATTAGGCAATATTTATTGAAAAAATTGAGTCACGTACTGGTCTGATGGATTTTTTCATCAACTAGGAAAATACCAATGGACCTGTGACTCGTTGAAATAATGAAAGCCCCTCCCCAAAATCCATCGAATTTTTTTTTTCCCTTGCTGAGGTACCTCTCAACTCAATACGTGACTCCACGTGTGTTTTCTGCAAAAACACATCGCACATTATTTCCCGAAATTACGTCGAGAGCATTGGTGGCGGCGATGAGGAAGTGGTTTCGATCGAATCACTTTAACTTCCCTCCCCGAATGGAATTTATTGTTAAACCACCACCCAAGTGCAACCATAACGTGACAATGGCAAAGTCTCCGAGAATATATCGTTTGGTTTTGCCGTGCTAAAAAGGTGGGGGACGAATAAATGAAATTTCCTTACCTCTATTATTCTTACCGGTGCTCCAGCTGAATTTCATTACGTGGATAGCAGCCCACCTCTCAATTGAATAACACCGTATTACGTTGTTTAAATTTTACCAGCGTGATTTTAAAGTAGTCCAAACCCACTCAATTCTCTCGGAAAACCGAGGATTTCAAACCGGTCGTCCAATTTCATTCAATTCAACGTTTACATCGTTTACACCATTCCGGAAATGCGTGTCCATTGCACCCCGCGGTCTGACATAACGATTTTTTTTCTACTCAGGATAATTTTCAAAATTGATCAAAGCGAAAAAAAAATAAAAGACGCTTTACTTTTTGGTGTCAATTGCTTCCGACATCAGAGTGGGAGTGAGAGAACCAAAATTTTTGCCGCTTAAGGCGTTGGAATTTAATTTCTCGGCTCCTCAACCCTGTCACCTAAATATCGTCCTAGTCCATTTTTATTTGTAATTTCTCCTTCTCCATCTTAATTCTCCTTTTGGTGAGTGAAGCAAGTGACGTCGGTGCTTAAATTAAATCCCCCCTCAGCTAGCCTCGGGGGAACCTTCTTCTCATCTACCCGCTACCAGCTAATTCCGGTGAATGCACTGTGATTAATTATCCGCGTGAATGAAATTACATACTCCGGTTAAGGTGCAGTGGTGATACGTGAATTGGTCTGTTGAAGGCGTTAAAGGATGTAAAGACCGGTGCTAACGATAATAGCTCCCTCAAATTTAGGAGAAGAAAAAATTTTGGAAGAAGTGAGAGCGTTACTTTAATTTCAAAAGCCCTGTAAGAAATGAATAATTAAAAATAATTTTATTAATTCCAATTAATTCCAAAAAAAAATATGAATTTATGAAAAATCTTTATTAAATCGGTAGAAACTTTTTTTTCCTCGGTATTTAACGCGCTCACTTGGGAGTGATAATTTTTTTTTAGCATTCACCCCACCCCCAAGGCCACCCAATACGTCTTTACAAGCTTCTAAGCCTGTGAAACTAAAATCCAAGAGGTTATTCCATTTAACCACTGTCTTTGTCGCTTACATCGGCCACAATACCTGACGAAGCCATTGAAATTCCCTCGCATGTTTCATCCGAACCGACTGACCCAGTGACAGGTACGTAACAGCCATTTGCACCCAGTTTTCCACTGAACACCAGAAAAACCCTCTGGAATATCGATATATCCGCGATATCAGTCGCTTCTCCCTTCCCCCCAGTTTCCAATATAATGACGAAATGCTGTCACCGTAGATCCAAGAGTTCACGCGTCCAACCGATGACCAGAGTACCTTGTCTTTTTTTAATCGAGGGTACGTCACTGGCGATTAGTGCAATAGGTGTCAAGAAAGTAATATTGTTTCAGTTGGGTGTGATTCACCGGTGGTAACACGCGCGTCAGAATGTGGTGGGTTAAGAAGCAACTCGTTGTTGATTATTGCAGTGGGATATGGGGTTCGTAGGTAGTGTTGTCATCGATTCGGTGATATTTATGATCATCACGAATACCACTTTGAGATTCATCGGTATTTGCGAAGTGTGCATTCCCCACTCAATTCTACTCACCGGTTTCTTCATCTGCACGATATTCATGTAAGTTGCAAAATTATTTTCCCGATAATTTTTTTTCCAGCCGGCATTCAAGATCTTTACGACATAATTATTATTATTTATTAATTCATCAGTACGCAGACCCCCTCGGGCCCAAAAATATTTCTGATTATTCTCAATCTTATTTCATTAATATTGTAGTAATATTAATCCAGTATTGAATTATTAAAAATCGTCAGAGGGGAAACGGATTCGCGGAGGGATTGAAACTTCATTAATTCGTAATTCGACGGTACGAGCGGATTAGAATCCAACAGTTGCTTCGAGTTGCAGTTTCCTGAACGAGATGCAACTCATTTGCCAGTATAATGTTGCATCGCATGTCATTCCCTGGAAATCCCTGAATTTTCAAAGCGACGATAAAGGGCAGAGTTTCGGTGGCAGGAGCTGCCGAGTGGCTGAACTAGATTCAAACGGTCACAAGATTTACACTACAATTAATTCGAATGGCTCTATGATACCAAAGGGGGCCCGAGGGTTTGGTCACTGTACGTATATTGCAAGTATCGCCTGGAGATTGAAGCGCAGTATTGAATTTAGTCCCCTTCCACGGAATATCGCAAGCTCCATCAATCCGTTCAATCAACGTCAGTGACGTACGGGTTGACAGTCATTGGCAACTGGAGGATCGGACTCCGATAATTATTCCATCGTTTCCCATATTCAGTGAAATCAATTTACCATTAAAACCTTGATATTTCTACCGGGAATATCGACATGCCACACCCAAGAGAACGATATCAAATTCATTCGTTTATTTTTTATTTGATTCAAATGAAGAATATCTCTGGAATCAATCCTCCGTGGGTATCTCCAGGCTTTGATACTTGATACGACGTAGAACTTGAGGGTAAACTTGAAATAATCGTATTACTTGGCAGCTCCTGGCCCGTTTCACCGATCAATTGATCAATCATCAAGATGAATTGGATCAGCGAATTGTTTCCAGCTGGAATGATGCTATCTGGTCAGAGAGAGCACATCAGACCCAATATGAAGCTCAAGAAGCGGTGATTGTACAGTACAAAGTGTAAACCACTCGCAAATCAGATATCCGTCCCTCGCTCGCAGTATATCTAGTCTCCAGTTGTTAATCTAAACTTGTTTGGTAAACTTGGGTAAATCCCGGTGTGCACAATTCACTCCTGAATGCAGCTTAGTCGTAGAATTTCTTGATGTTCGAACATGTTGAAGTCCCGGCCAAATCCAGATAAGCCATGACGTATTTAACGAGGACTAAGGGCTTTTATTAAGTATGTCCACTCTGGCTCTCGTTATACACCAGATGAGGCGAGGGCTCAGGAGTGATGGGATTAAAGGGCTGAAAAATTGTGGGATACTTGCGCTTGTTCCACATCCCGTCAAATGGAAAAATCGATTCCTGTCGTGACTCCTCATTGCGTGATGCGCACCCTGAAAAAACTTCATCTGAATGAATAAAAAGTTTATTCAATTTGTTTTCATCAATGTTATCAATTCAATATGCAATAACTTCACACAATAAATTTCTAGGATCTAATTAACGACTTCAAACGATATTTTAGAATTGTCGATGCGGTAATGAAGGGCTTTGAAGACTTCAAGACTCGAGCAGCGATGGGAAATTTATTTATTTGATCCTAACAAATCGTTACTTCGGGTGCATAGACCGCAGGTGTTGATAGGGTAGGATTCAACCGCGGAAATTCCGAGGCTATTTCTAGAAATTTCTGTGATGATTCTGCAGTATTTTGCTGCGGTGGGTAAGTTGCCTCACATGCGAAAGGTTTCGAGTTTAGGTCACGATGGGGTAAAATGATGAGGTCTAGCCATTTCGAGTCTTGATCACCATCGGGCCCCTGGCAGAGTTGAGACAATGCAAAATAAAAAAAAAAATAATAATAATAAAAATAGGATTGTACGTCTGGACGCGTCCCCGGCAGATGGCGTTTGCACCTCCTGGTGAATTCACTTGATTCTCAGTGCATATTAGGTGCAACGGGAACAACGGCCGACCTCGAAACTTTTTGGATCGACTTGGGTTGAGGAAGGTCGGAACCCTACCGATATATCATCGATGAATCATCGGCATTTCCCTCGGAATTTTTATTTCCATCGTTTGGAGTATTGGAGATGGGACAAGTGCTGGGAGCTTGAATGACGCACGGGATTTTCCAGCTACCGGGTAAAGCACATGGTTCATCCAGAGTGCAACTGCACTCGGGAGCACTCGGGAAAATCCAGAAGTAGGTCGTGACGTAATTCTCGTGATCGTTTAACTGGGGCATATCGATAGAGACAGTGAAACGCGCGTGAAAGCACCGGGAATTCAAACTTGTTATATGTTTCATGGGGTGGGTGGGATCAGGGGTGATGGTGCTACGCATTTTCAGCTGTTCCGGATTTTCATGAAATTTTTGAGAGGATCTCAGGGGCGTGATTCCCTCCGTCGCTTGTATTTTTATTGTCAACGATGGAGGAGTCTTTTTTTTTTTCGCTGAGTCTCCAACCCCGGGAATTTCGTGTTTCTTTCGATTTTCATCCACTCCTCGCGGTTTATTTATTTTACGTACATCACGATTTTCATATCGCATTTGGGAGAGGATTGTGGGAAAATTGGATTGCGATCGGGAGAAGTATTGGGGTTTTCTTCTCGATGGGAATGCC